CTGTCAGACTTAAAGTCCTTCAAACGGCTGAAGCAGTAGCCATCCGGATGAAGAAACCAGAGCTATGCGTAGTGAAGAAATATCTTCAACCGCCCCTCCTGCCCTGGCCAAAATCAAGGCCAAGTAATCAATAGTAATCTAAGCTATTGAGTGACCTAATTTGACTACGAATTGTCGTAGTCAATTGTAATTGTCTCTGTTATCTTTATTCACAAATCTTTCTATTATTATTATTATTATTATTATTATTATTATTATTATTATTATTATTATTATTATTATTATTATTATTAATATTCATAAAACATCATTATTAATCATTATTAATCTCCTCTATACATGATTTATCCACTTCGCATTCATACCTCCTTTTTAAGTCTTACTAACATTTGACCGAATTGTAGTTGCACTATTATTTCTCTCACCCTATCTGACCCATATTTATTTTGATCATGCATCTTAAATTTCACTTAACATATACACAGATTCAAGTTAATATACTATCTGAGTCATATCATTTTTTCTGCATGATCTACCATCTTCCACAGTAAAATCTTATGTGAAATATGCGGATGATCTCACTGTATGTATGCCTATCTCTACCTCTTTACATCCCAAAGAAATGGATGAGTTTTTGTCTCGTATTGATTGTTGGTCTGTTGGTAATGGTCTCATATTTAATCCGTCTAAATGTCAAGTTGTTAACTTTAGCGTGAGACATGAACGGCATCTAAACAACACTTTGGGATCTCATAATGCTTGTGCCATTGGAGACTCTTTGATAAACACAATATCGAAGGTCAATTATCTTGATGTTACCTTTTACTCTGATCTCTTTTGGTCTTCTCATGTTTTATTGTTATTGAAGAAAGTTTTCCGTTTGACTTACTACATAAAGAGATTGCATACTCTTGGGATTACTCGTCATTTACTTTTACAATTTGTCAATTCTTGCATACTACCTATTATCCTTTACTGTACTCCATTATTCTTTCCCGGGCTTTTGAGAAAAGACTTTGCTTTATTGCGGAGAGCGGTGGAGGTAGTTAGCAAGGTGTGTGGTGAATCTTTCGAGGTCATAATTAATATGGTTGTGGATGGACATCGTAAGTCATGCAAACTCCTAGTAGGTGTTATTTTATCAGATACTAACCATCCCCTTCACTCATATCTTTCTCCTTGAATATCTTCTGGTAGAACAAGACATAATTACATTAAATTCCATGCACACAAGCAAAAGTATAATAGTTCTATAATACCTTACCTAGCAAATATCCTCTGTGACGAACAAGTTGTTAGAGTTAACCTAGTCAATAGCCTGCATTCTTAACATGTCTCTAATTTGGAAAGTTGTACAGTTTATCAGATGTTTTAAAACCTTTTTTCCCCTTTTTTGTCTTTGTTCCGGATTTTTTGTAAAAGAAACTTGTTGAACTACGTTGTGCTGAGAATTCTATATTGTACCAAAATACAATATTGAATAAAGTCATTAATAATAATAATAATAATAATAATAATAATAATAATAATCAACATTAACAATTTTATTGTAGTTTGTTTAACAATCCAGAATTCACATGCTTTAAACGGTGTACTTTGTCCTTAGCCTGGTCATTTTTCGGATTATTAATTCTGATATATGAATTGTGGGACCTGAAGAGAATTTATCGAAACGAATATTCTTCTTTCAAATATTAGTCTTTTAATATGATGAGGATCTTTAAACGATTAAGAATTTTGTTTGTTTCGTTAGTGGTCATAAGCATTTTTCTAAGCATAATAAATGTACATAAGTATGTATGCTTTACAAATATTACTTATTTGTAATAGATTGATTGTGAAGTTTTCATATGACTTGTATGAAGTGTTTCAAAATCTCTACAGGTTGGAGATTATTTTGTTCCCATTCATAGGCTTATTTTAATAGAATGAATATAATCAGAAAGGGGTTTTCTGAAGATTGTAGTAATTGATTAATTGGATTCCTGAGTCAATTGAAGCTAAACCACCATGAAAAACCCGGAAGCATTGAACGGCCATTTCATCCTAGTATGGGACTTCTCAGTAGTGCTCATCCACGATCCCATCCCACGAGATTCAAACCTAGGGCTTATCAGTCGCAGCATGCTTATATTTACAACCACTTTGTTTCAAACTTTGATTGATACAAGCATTTGATAAAAATATGTAATTTTCTTTTCAAGAAAAATCTTTAAATGTGTAGCTTTATTGTTGAAGGCTAACTTCAGATTTCAGTTATCCATTTTATCTCTACAACTAGATGTTTGTAGTGATTATTGAATATAATTTATTTCACAAACTAACTTTACGCAAACAACCAGTGACAGCTGTAAATTTTAAGTATTGGCTTTCTCATCAAATCACACTTACAAGCTAGTCAATGATCAAACATAGCCTACCAAAAGTGAGATATGTCACCGACTGTAATCACCGTTAGTCACGTCAATAGTCAGTTAATGCTCTTATACCTCTATGTTTGATATCGGCGAATAATACATCGAGGTGATTTACTAAGGAGTCACATACTGCTACACAATAGCAATTCACTAACTTTCTGATCATCGATAGTTGCATAGTCTCGGTCAGTTTGTGATGCGAAAGAAACTGTTTTGTAATTTTACTTTAGAAGAGAACGTTAACTCTACATAAATGAGGGAATAGTATAAGTAACATAAAGTGTACATTAATTTTCCCGTAAAACTAAATAAATTTTTTCATATCAAATTATGATAATACAAACCAATAAACAAATAAATTGGGCGGCACATCAGTCACAAGAAAACTTGCAAACTCTAGCAAAAATTATGTTTATTCTACTGAAGACAAACTATAAGTTTTAACACAATATTGATACTGGTTCACATTCATTCTCTCACAATCGGCAAAACGATTAGATTTGAATGTTGGTATGCATTCTTATGATGAATGTTATGTATAAAAGTGACTTCTATATTCATAGGAATATTCATTTTAGAATTAAGATTTAATTAAATATATTTCATGCCAGAATTGATTAAGGTTGGAATACAAATGATTCACTTGTACAGCAAATACTCATAATGTCTCTAAGTTGTAGTGAAAAACATCTACCGCCCTACCTACCAAATATGTAACATAATGAACATGGTTATTTGTGTCAGTATATTAAGCTAGATTTATTACTAATGTGTGGAATTGATGGCTGCAAAACAACCAAAGGCCTAAAATCTAATCCGTTCATAGAGTAGATAAGTTGTAAGATGTGCATTTTGTTCTATTTCAAACTCGCCAGATGGATGTATTTATATTAATGTCCTGGATTCTATCGCTAGTCAGAATCCATCTATTCTATAGAACTGGTAATAAAATAGGTGTATAAAGGTAATCCACACTGCATGCCAATATACCAATAAAAAGTGACTAAAATTCAGTCAACAATATCACTAATGAGATTACATAAACCATTTCTACTAATAATAATAATATACTATGAATCTACAACAGTAAAATTATCAGTATATGATCATTCTTTTTGTTAATTTATTTGTTGGTATATCCTGATTAATCATAAACTGTCAAGTAGTTCCAAACCGAAAGATATCACTACAAAATCAAATTACCGAATTCATTTAGTGTAAGAATGAAAATTGACTGTTTACATCAAATATACTCTTATTTATACCAATATTGATTTGATTATGCTATTGCGCCATCTTTCACTTCATAATGGGATTTTATGTACGTCTTTTTTCATATTTCGTATTATTATAATTAAATCAAATATGTATTATTTAATTATGATAAACCTTATATAAGTTAAATATTCATGAATAATTATCGTATATAGACTAGTATATTTTCAATAAATAAGGTTTCACTGATTGAAATCATGAGTCAATTGAAGCTAGACCACCATGGAAAACCTGAAAGCACTGGACGGCCGTTTCATCCTAGTATGGGACCCTCAGCAATGCACATCCACGATCCAGAACCCCGCGAGATTCGGAACCAGGACCTATCAGTCTCGCGCCAGGCGCACTGCTGAGGAGTCCCATACTAGGATGAAACGGCTGTCCAGTGCTTCCAGGTTTTCCATGGTGGTCTAGCTTCAATCGACTCATGATTTCAATCAGTGGAATTTCTAAAATCTTCACAAAAACCCTTCTGAAAATAAGGTTTCCACAATCAATAGTTGTACATGTAATCAATCAGTCAGTAATCATAAGACAATCTAAGATAATCAGAGAGGGCTTTTGTGGATATTATAGTAATTTGTTAGTTGAATCGATTAGTTGAGCCGATTGAAGCTAGACCATCATAGAAAACCTGGAAGCACTGAACGGCCGTTCCCTACTAGCCATGATCGATATTTAAAGATACATTGAATTCTCTATGATGTTACTTTGCGAATAGAATTTCAAGACATTCATTTTAACTTTACATTTTCATGTATTGAAAAGTAGTTTGCATTCAAATCATTTCGATAGCACATGCTGAAGTAGAGTCGAAGCTAGATCCCCATGGAAAACCTAGAAACACTGAACTGCCGTTTCATCCTGGTATGGGACGACTCCTCAGTAGTCTTCATCCATGATCCTATTTCGTGAGATTGGATAAAGTAAATTGATTGAAGTGTTAAACATTAACATCGTTGAATGCTAGCTCAATGGTCTAAAAGACAATATTTATTTATTAAACCAATAACTACTCATAAGTCGTTCACGATTGGTTTATAAACAATAAATTCTTTCTTTTCTTTTTTCTTGATAGTTAAAACAACCAATAAGATAATAATGAATTATAACGATCCACAAATATAAAGGATACTTATATCATATCAAAGAACTTTCTTTTTCTTCTTCAATGTTTAATGCCAGAATTAATCATTTTACATTGAAATGAATACAACAACATTACAATTCTCATTTACATTTTATTATTATGTTAAATATCTTGGATTATGTCATCATATTAATGATTCAAATATGTTTGGTAAACCAATGATTTTACCACAAATAAAACATCAAATACCATTTATTTGTTTTTCATTCATTGGTTTCATATTAAATTTTATTTCATTATTTGTATTCTTATTTGGTGGTGATTTAATTATTCGTTCACGAATTCATCAATCCAAACAACATGATAAAATTCTATTAGATAATGAATATTCCAATATATCTAAATGTACAATTATACAATCAACAAGATCACGACATCGTAAACGTACACAAAGTTCATTTATGATTAGTTTAATATTTTTATGTGGATGTGAAGTGATTTTTAATTTAGGTGCATTTATATTTAAATTAATTCAAGTATTATCATCATATTTTATTCATCAAATTCCAATGGATAAATCAAATCATATACCACCTGATATGACTTTAATTATATTACCAGTTATACAAAATATTTTAATGTTTATTGCTGAAGTAGGTCTTTTTTCTCGTAATTGGTGTGTATGTTTAATTACAGCAGCTCGAGCTGAAGTAGTTATTTGGCCAATTGGTTCACGTCCATGGCAAAGAATTTTAAGAAATCCACGAAAATTTATTCAAATATTTATTCTATTATTATTTATATCAATTATAATAGCTGGTTTAAAACATACAGATTATATTTCATTATTATGTTACGATCCAATTAACCATCAATATGGGATGTGGTCACAAGAATATATGTTTACACATAAATCATTCTCACTTTATATGAGTTTTATTGTTTTACCATATCGTGCAGTAATTACTTGGATTCTTATCATATTATTTACAATCATGATTATTATTAGATTACGTCCATGGAGAAAAGAATCATCATTATTACAAATATCTCAATCGAAATCATTAGATGATATACCAATGACAAATGAAAATCCACAACATGATGCTATACGTAAACGTCAAAAAGGTCAAATGAAAGCGACACGTGTTGTATTAATGGTTGCTTTAGCATTTGGTTTATTAGAATGTATGAATTTTATGATATCATTATGTCAAACATTTAATTTACTTGATAATAATCATTTAAGTCGTTTACTTGAAACAATTGGCAATACATTAATCACTATTGATTCAATATGTAATTTCTTTGTATTTATTTCATTAATGTCTTATTTTCGTATAATATTTTTACAAATATTCTGTTGTAAAACATTCAATAATCAACAAAATATTCCAACCAATAGTACTTCATATACTTCGGTAAATCATTCAATAACTGGGTCATAGTTATCCTATGGAGAAATTAAATACAAAGGTGTAATGTTTTTTTAAAAAAATATTTTTATTCTTACTAAAAGAGAAAACGAAAAGAGAAACAGAAAAAGAAAACGGAAAAAAGAAATAATCGTAAAGGAAAAAGAAGTTTGTAAATATTATTGTTTTAATCAATTGAATTGATTATATAAACCTATCCGTGTGTATCTTTGTTATATTTTCTTTTCTTTTATAAATACTACTTATTAGTCTTATAACCTATTCAGGTGTGTTTCTGAAAAGCTTACGTAATTTCGCTATACAAGTTGCAAACGAGCTCAATCAGAGGTATCATGGTTGCTGGCTATATTCATTAAAACGAATGAACATTGTTCGGATGTCAACTTCTGTAATGATATAATATCTAACTGGCGATCACTCAATATTTATGGTCAATATCGACTAAAAAAATATAAGAAAAGGAAACCTGTTGAAATACTATGTGCAGAGAATTCTATATTATACCAAAAATATAATATTGAATAAAGTCAATAATAATAACAATAATACTACTAATAATTATTATTAGCTTGTAATGGACCAAAAAAATGAATCACCCTCAACTATTTAAACTTTAATGTGATTGATTAAGTTTCGTCCAGTAATTTGTTTCACTCATCAGGCCTAAGTAAATGAATAAATTTTTATTTCCTTCTCAAAAGAGGAAATGTAATTATTTTAATTATATTTAATATAAATTGAATTGATTGTATTCATTTTGACAATTGTGTGTGTATTGTATCTTCGAATTAATTTTTGTAAAATATGAATGAACTTCATTGTCTCTATGTACAATTCATCAGGTATAGTTCCTTTTATTTGTTTATCTGTTTGTAAAATAAGTAGTATGTGATGTTGCTCTTTTATTTTAAAATAGAAGTTTTACTAATTACAGTTAAACATTCCATTTCTTTATAGTCAATTCATAAAGTGTCATAAATTGATGTACATTTATGTTTTATATAAGAAGTGTTAATTCTTATTTGAATTAAAAGACAATAAATGTATTTGATAAAATAACTCATTTGCTTTATATTCAATGGTAAGTACGAAGGTTTGAGAAGATCAGTGAATGTTATTGATATCACCAATTAATCTACAATGAGGAAACAAATGTCCATTCTTAATTAGTTTTCGATGGATACCTAACTTAGGTTGACCATAGATGGTTGGAATTATTAGTACTTGCTACTAGTTATATTAGAGTTAAAGATCATAGATGTATTGATTAAAAACAAATTCTCTTGTTCACAAACCGTTATTGACATGATACTTAAATTTACCATTATGAATAAAAATGTGGCTTATTGTTAAGTCGTAAATCTACCGTTGGATGAGGTTCGAATTACTGTCTTTTGTTACAGTCTAACGAGTGTTGTACATAGCGAATAATTATTCATACTAATCAGAAAAAACTTTATTTGAACAGCATAAAAACTTAGTTTCTACTTCTATTGTGAAAAGTGTACATAGATTAGACTGACTAAATGACTGATGATTATAAAATGTATACCGGTCACTGATGAAAAACAAAACTTTGTTTAATAACTAGTTTATAAATCCCAAGAGGAACAATCTCTGCTATGACAATTATATTTTCCTTGATAGATCACAACGTTGTCTTTTAGTATGATATTTTGTAACGCTTCTCAAGGACGGTTTTGTGCTGTATATATACGTTTTGATTTGTGTCTGTTGTTATCGGTCGTGATTCTGGCATTTTGCGGAACATACTTCCCCCTTCGGACTTCAACATCTCTCTCTAATTAGCGAGTCTGGGACGCATCATAATAACTAGTTTATTGGTCTTTGATCACAAGTCTTTGTTCCGTTCGCAGTCTAAGTGAACTCGTGACCGTTTCGAAACTAGAAAATAAACTTCGATTTTATACTTGACGATACTATTAATCCTAACTCCGCCTGGAGTCCCTCCGGGGGCCCAAGCCCGCATAAAGGAGAAGGGTTGGGCATGGGGTTAGCGACCCCATCCCATAGAATACTAACTCGCTAAAAAATCGCTAACCAGAAAAAATTATTCAAACCTTTTAAACTCTGCCCTGGGAATCAGAAGGTCTTCATTTAGAAGAGCTATGACGCCTCATTGTGAAAGCCGAATTCCTTCGGAAGTTACGAGGCCGATGCCCCTTCTGACAACCAGAGCAACCATTTATTTAGGTACATGGAATGTTCGTACAATGTGGGACACCGGGAGAGCCTTCCAAATCGCTGCAGAAATGAGAAGTTACAACCTAGAGGTACTTGGGATAAGTGAAACACACTGGACGCAAGTTGGACAACAACGACTAACTTCAGGAGAACTTCTGTTATACTCCAGCCATGAAGAAGAAAATGCTCCACATACACAAGGAGTTGCATTGATACTGTCCAAACGAGCACAAAATGCACTTATAGGATGGGAATCTCATGGACCAAGGATCATCAAAGCCTCCTTCAAAACAAAGAAAGAAGGCATTTCAATGAACGTCATCCAATGCTATGCGCCTACCAACGACTACAATGAAGACGCTAAAGATCAGTTCTACAATAGGCTGCAGTCAATCGTCGAGAAGTGCCCAACAAAGGACCTGACCATTCTGATGGGAGATTTCAACGCCAAGGTTGGAACGGACAACACTGGATATGAAGACATCATGGGACGACACGGACTGGGAGAAAGGAACGAAAATGTTGAGAGATTTGCAAACCTATGTGCCTTCAATAAACTGGTCATAGATGGCACCATATTCCCACATAGGCGCATTCACAAAGCCACATGGACTTCACTGGATCACACTACACAAAACCAAATCGACCATATCTGCATCAACAAAAAGTTCAGGAGGACGATGGAGGACGTGAGAACCAAGAGAGGAGCTGATATAACCTCAGATCATCACTTGCTGGTCGCCAAGATGAAATTGAAACTCAAGAAGCACTGGACAATGGGGTGGACAACATCACAAATGTTCAATACGGCCTTTCTCCAGGATACTAACAAACTCAACAAATTCAAGATAGTCCTCAGCAACAAGTTCCAGGCCTTTCATGATCTACTCAATGGAGAAGGAACTACTATGGAGAGCAACTAGAAGGGGATCAAAGAGGCAATCACTTCCACATGTCATGAGGTCCTGGGTCACAAGAAGCACCATTACAATAAATGGATCGCTGTTGGTACACTGGATAAGATTCAAGAAAGGAGGAAAAAGAAGGCAGCAATCAATACCAGTCGAACAAGAGCAGAAAAAGCCAAGGCACAAGCTGAATACACAGAAGTTAACAAACAAGTGAAGAGGAGCATCAGAACCGACAAACGTAAATACGTGGAAGATTTAGCAACGACGGCGGAGAAGGCTGCAAGAGAAGGGAACATGAGACAACTGTATGACACGACAAAGAAACTCTCTGGAAATCACCGTAAACCAGAACGACCAGTGAAAAGCAAGGAAGGCAAGGTAGTCACCAATATTGAAGAACAACGAAACAGGTGGGTAGAACACTTCAAAGAACTCTTAAATCGACCAGCCCCACTAAACCCACCCAATATCGAAGTAGCACCCACGGACCTCCCAATCAATGTTGGCCCACCAACAATTGAAGAAATGAGCATGGCCATCAGGAAATCAAGAGTGGCAAAGCAGCAGGACCAGACAACATTCCAGCAGAGGCACTAAAAGCAGACGTAGCAGTAACTGCAAGGATACTCCACATTCTCCTCAATAAGATTTGGGATGAAGAACAAGTACCAAAAGACTGGAAAGAAGGACTTCTGATTAAGATACCGAAGAACGGCGATCTCAGCAAGTGTGATAACTACAGGGGCATCACTCTTCTCTCAATACCAAGAAAAGTCTTCAACAGGGTATTGTTAAACAGGATGAAGGACTCCGTAGACGCCCAACTTCGTGACCAACAGGCAGGATTCCGTAAGGATAGATCGTGTACAGACCAAATCGCAACTCTACGGATCATTGTGGAACAATCAATTGAATGGAACTCATCACTCTATATCAACTTCATTGACTACGAAAAAGCATTTGATAGCGTGGACAGAACAACGCTATGGAGGCTTCTTCGATACTACGGCGTGCCTCAGAAGATAGTCAATATCACACAGAACTCATATGATGGATTACACTGCAAAACCGTGCATGGAGGACAGTTCACGAAGTCGTTCGAAGTAAAGACCGGAGAAGACGACCAGTATAGCAGCAGCCTCAGCAGCAGTAAGTCTCAACATACACAAAGGGAAAAGCAAGATTCTCCGATACAACACAGCATGCACCAATCCAGTCACAATTGACGGAGAAGATTTGGAAGATGTAAAAACCTTTACATATCTGGGCAGCATCATTGATGAACAGGGTGGATCTGATGCAGATGTGAAGGCGCGGATCAGCAAAGCAAGAGCAACATATTCACAACTGAAGAACATCTGGAACTCATAGCAACTGTCAACCAACACCAAGGTCAGGATTTTCAATACAAATGTCAAGACAATTCTACTGTGTGGGCAGAAACCTGGAGAACCACGAAAGCCATCATCCAGAAGATACAGGTGTTTATTAACAGCTGTCTGCGCAAAAATACTTCGGATCCGTTGGCCAGACACTATTAGCAACAACCTACTGTGGGAGAGAACAAACCAGATCCCAGTGGAGGAAGAAATCAGGAAGAATTGCTGGAAGTGGATAGGACACCCAATGAGGAAAGCACCTAACTGCGTCACAAGACAAGCCCTCACATGGAATCCTGAAGGCCAAAGGAGGAGGAGAGGAAGACCAAAGAACACATTACGCCGGGAAATGGAAATAGACATGAGAAAAATGAACAAGAATTGGATGGAACTAGAAAAGAAGGCCCAGGACAGAGTGGGTTGGAGAATGCTGGTCGGCGGCCTATGCTCCATTAGGAGTAACAGGAGAAAGTAAGTAAGTAAATAAGATACTACTAAACCTAGTTGAATTTCTGTTCAATACACAGTATCTATTCAGGGACAGTATACACATTATATCCGGGTTCCATATGTATTTAACTGCAAGTAAGTGTACTCAACAATCTCTTTCGAGAATAATATGTCAGCCATATTCTTCTACCCATTTGTTTTTTTATTGAAGAATAACTTTACCCCTAAATAGTAATAAACTAACAAATCCTACAAAACATTTTTTGAGAGGTATTAGTTTTGTAATTCAAGGAACGTTTCTTCACTGTCATAACAATTACTCTTTGTTAACGTTCTCTTCGATTCGATCTTCCCAACTTTCTGCAACCACGCATTTCACTTCTGATTGGTGTTATATACTACTTATGTCTATCGACATAGGTAGCATACACAATATATATATATATATATAAAGAGAGAGAGAGAGAGAAATATAGTCAAGAAAGTTTATTCCATAATTCTATTCTTTTAATATCAAAATAGTTATAGACGATACTTGTTATTTAATAACATAATAGTACTCATAATCACTTTCGTAGATATTAAATTTAGTTGTTTACCATACACTTTATGTAATGTTCATAATACTTCATAAACTGCAATCATGATGTTTTGAAATACTCATTCATTGTCTGTGGTAGATTACTGTCTCACGTGAGACACGGATTTAACTCCACTAGTCACGGCCCTTCACTAGAAATCCAGGAGTTACATACTAAAGTTTATCGCTAGACAGCATATGATAATTATTAGCACTATAGTTTACTAATAGTATAATTATATTTTAGTAAATTTACTTAACATATATAGTCCTTCGTACAGATATAAACCTATATAAACAAAGTAGAATATTTTAATTGTTTTTCTTTGATTGAAATTACCAAGTATTGTTAGTACTGTGGTGTATCTAATTGCAGTACAAATTTATACGGTTTTTACAGCCTAATATAACGGAATGATTTATTGATGATGTTCCTCTCACTTCGCTAT